ATGTGAATTGTCTGACATCTTAGTTGTATATGGTATCATGGTGTGCCACTTTTGGTAGTGTCACTGATTTTAGGCTATGGTTGGTAAACAAATAAGCTAACTTATGGCTTATTTGGTTAGCTTTATAAGCTTCGTGTATTCAAATAAGATTCGTTTGGTAGGACGAGTTTTTTTTTTAAAGCTCGAGCTTCTTTCATAAGGGTTTTTGGGTAGCTTTTCAAATAAACTCATTGAAATTTTTATTTCAGCTAGATTATCAACTAATTTTACGGAACACTTTTATCATATAAGTTAGCTTTTGAGCTACAAGTCATAAGATATAAGCTCGAAAGTTACTGATATGAGCTAGCTTATATTTAGTTTTACCAAACATGGCCTTAGTGTTTTTTCAAATCCATTTTGCATCAGCCAACGAGGGTTAACCTATCTTATGCTTCCTTTTGGTGCCAATCTTGTTAGCCATTAGAGTCCAGTGGCCTTAGAGTTAGGTAATACTCTATTCGGGTGGTTAGCTTCAATTTAGTGTGTCGACCAGGTGAATGCTAGCACTATAAACATGGAGTTCATGTTTGTTTGTCAAGTTATTGGATTTCTTGATTTGATTCTAAATGTTTGGTAAGTAGGTAGATAGATAAATAAAGTACTTGTTCATTTTATATTTTTCTTTGTTTGACCGAGGCTCAATTTCAGAACTAGATGTGGATGCTAATCTCATATTTCTTATTACTCGTGGAAAAAAATTTGTAATGGTATTGATTCATATTTGTTCTTTCTTTTAAAGGAGGCAAAATATTGACGAATTGAGAATTCTTGAAGCTTTATTTTATTATTTCATTATTCACAATTGAAGTGCATTTTTAATCCAACCCACCTCTATTTCAGGCGTTTCCCATATTTTTAATTAGTGATTTATGAAGGGTGTGTCTCTGTGCTTGTCATAAAATAAACTAGTTTGACATTTTATCATTATTTGGGAGGCGCTTTTGGTGGTCGCAACTTTGTTCTTTCTAGCTTAGTTATGGATAGACATCTCTCCTTGTTGCAGCATATTTAAATTATTTAACGTTAGCTGAAAATGAGTTTTCTGCGTGGCTTTTTCGTATTAAGTTGCTGAGTACCTTTCTAATTTTTATGAAGCTCATGAGTGCAGCATCTGTATACTGGTGTATATTTACTGGATTTAAATTTTAGCAAATTGGCTCATGAGTAAGGCATGGTGGACTGCTGGACTGTGTTTCAAATATTCTTTCAACGTTAAATAAACGAGTCAATGATTTTACATTGGGTCTACCTGTAACCATTGCTTGTTGCATTTATTCATTTATTGTTGTCATGTTCAATCTTTTAATGATCTCGGTTTCTTGATCCTTATATTTACAGACTAAAAACACCAATCAGACACCTACCTTAGCTTATCCTACTTTAGAACTGAAGGATCTAAATGAATGTGAAAATGTTAATGATTGTCTGCACGTCTATGCATATATATGAGTTAGCTTAAGTCCCTGAGCCTCATCGTTAATTAGTTTCAATTCGGCTCCCTTATCCACAAAAGAATTATCACTTCAGTTTATGAAAATTGCGAATGAATTATTCCCGCACGTCTTATTTTATGATAGAATTAGAAACATGTTCGTTGAATCTTATGCTTTCAGCAGTGTACTTAATCAAGTATTGTGCAATCTTGTTGGAACATAAAGCTTGTGGACATTATCAGAAATGGACTAGATCATTATTTGTTGCAAATATTGTGATATCTATTTCTTGAGGAGCAACTAATTTAAAAATCTATACTTTTGGACCAAGATTAGAATACATTTTTCTACAATTGCGTGCGCTCTTTTTTTACGTGTTTTACTCATGTGCCCTTCTGCAGGCTTCAGTGCAAGCCATCGTATAAGTGACTTCAAATTAGTTATCTCGGTTCATTATATATATTTAATGCCTCTTGATAAAGCTTTTTTAACTGCACAGATTTTCAATAATCCCTGGTAATTCAATGCCATTCCGTTCTTACCCTCATTTTACTTTGCAGATGAAAACGTTTCACTACTCCATTTGCTCGGTCACGGGACAAGGGCATTGAGCTGATACCTTTCCCGTTTTGCTTTGTTTCCTTTCGTATTAGTTATCATCTGGATGATAGTAGTTCTTGTGATATGATAAACCATTTGAATTTATTTCTCGGTGTAGCCGAAAGCCAAACTTTGTGTAGGCTTTTCCGAGTGGATGGTACTTGGAATATAAATAAGAATTAAGAAATGTTTCACTGCGTTATGTTTACCTTATTTGATTAGTTCAGACTGTAAATCACACAATGTGTTGGTCTACTTAAATAGTTGATAAAGCTTCATTTAAGAAATTTTATTTATAGAAATTTTTTCAATACAAGACCGAACATATAATTTCATTTGCATGGATTTTTATAACTACATCTCACAATAATTTCATTTAACGTTAATTAATATGTAATACAAATATGATAATTATAATTATTTTACCAACATTGGTTACGATTACGTACTTTTAACTTTTAAGAAACGTGTGTTATATTTTATTAAATTCAAATATGATTTGATTTTTTTTAATTAAAGAAAAGATATGATATACTATTAAATTTTTATTTCGAGTTACAAAGTTAAATCGAACTAAATATTATTTTATAAGAAATCATATTGTAAGCGAAAAACATATTATATAAAAAAAATATCCAATAATATAGACCACAAATCATGATATTCTCATTTAAATAATTTATTTTTTATACTTCCCGCATTTGCTCGGCAACAAGTAGTAGGCTTTAATTACCTTACCCAACTGTTGGGCTGATTAAATCGTTTCGAAATAAGCCCATTTGTTCACAGCCCATGTCCAAAAAACTACTATAAATTGTGCAGTCATGGAAGAAATGGCTCAAAAAATAAAAACGAAAATTGCTTCTGCTCTGATGTTCCCTCTCTCCCCAATTGCACTCTGAAGGCCAAACCCTACGCCGGCAGCCGTCCCGATAGCGACCCTTATCGCCGTCGCCACCTCCACCGACTCCAGCCAGCCACTTCCACCGCCGCCTCGGAAGCTCTAATAGATCTGCGTATTTGTGAGTATCGTTTTTCTCTATCTTCTATTTGCTTTCTCTTCTGTTGAAACTTGAATCTCGGTTCTGCGTTATCTTCGAGCTTCTGGAGCAAATTTTGTCTCAATTTGTATCTGATTGAAGGTCGTTTAGAATTCTAAACGAATTTATTTGAAAGCTTTTCGACTGAGTTGTTGGGGTCACGGTGAAATTGACGATTTTGAAACCCCTCAATACATTTTTTTTTTTATTTTTTTTTTTGGATTTGGGCCAAAAGATCCAAGCACTTATCAAATATATGTTTCTTTGTATACCTTATTTGTGCAATTTGGCTGATATATTTATATATGTTTATATTGATTTTAGGGTTTTGGTTTATGATTTGTTTGTGTCCTTTGTGTTGGAAGTGTAACAATTATTTATTTATATATTTTTGTAAAATTTTAAAATTGTCAAAACCAGGGCCTAAGGTTTTTTATGCCTACTGAAATGAACTAATTGATAAGGATCAGCTTGCATAGCAACAAGGGAAAATAAGCTAGTTATTTTGACAAGTTTCAAGTTTATCAGCTATCTATCAAATAGTTGGTGGCTTTAAGTTTCTTAAGCTACACCTTTAATGATAACCTGTATATAAAACTGTTCTGAATTAGTAAGCTACCTTGCAGATAGGGTTGAGATTATTTCACAGCATGTACTTCACAAACTCATTAGTGTATCGTGTTCACTCTGTTTTTATGGTGGAGATTATTTCACAGCATGTTGTTCACAAATTCATTAGTGTATCATGTTAACTCTGTTTTATATTTATTTATCGCGTATTGATGTGCGTCATTGAGTTATGAATGCATGAACATTGATTGGATATCAATCAAAACTTGGTGGATATATTTTATTAAAAATTATTGCCTTCAGGTTGGAGACTTAAATTATGCATTGCTATGAATTGGGTATTTATAGAAATTCCAATTGTGAAAGTCCCACAGGATAGATTAATTTCATTTCATTACCTATTACTAATATTCTTTTTATCTTTTTTATTTTTTATTTTTTATTTTTTTTTTGTTACTAAACTCGCATGTTGAATAGATTCTGTGGGTAATGCCCAATAGATCTCATCATTGAATCATGTTGATGAAAATAATTTTAGCAAATGTCCCAGGTTGCAGCATTTCGTTTTTTAAGAACATCATAAGTCTCTTAATTTTTTTTACTCGTTACTCATCTTATGTAATTGCATTTGTCTAGAATTATTGGTTTGGTATTCTCTAAATGGATGATAGAGGCATGTTTCATGTTTTTAGTACTTTAGATACATTAAATGAAACCTACATTTTTTGTAATGGGGATCAGTGTATATCCTCATATTGCAGATGTTGATTACAGGTATATACGAGGATTTTAAATAAGTGTGTTGAACTAACCATAGGCAGTCTTCGATTTTCGATTTTTTTGGTTGCCTCTTCTTTTCTCACTGGGACTGTTCAGTGTCCTGTTTAATTATTTAGCATTCTTTTACTTTCTTTTTTTTTAAGTTATCATGCCTTCTTTACGTACAACGAGTAGATTAATAATTGCCAACCAACTTTTGAACAGATGCACTATGCCTGAAGAACGCAACCCAAATGGCCAACCTGCGAATGGCAATACATCCGGAGGCAATGCATACTCGATTGACTTGAACACCTTTAGTAAGAGATTGCAGGCTCTTTACGCGCACTGGCGCAATCACAAAGAAGAGTATTGGGGCTCTTCAAATGTTATCACTGTTGCCACACCACCTCCTTCAGAAGACCTGCGTTACCTGAAGTCCTCTGCCCTCAATATCTGGTTGCTCGGTTATGAATTTCCGGAGACAATCATGGTCTTCGAGGACAAGCATATCCATTTTCTCTGCAGCCAAAAGAAAGCATCATTGCTCGAGGTTGTGAAAAAGTCCGCTAAAGAGGCCGTCAATGTGGATGTAGTCATGCATGTTAAGCCAAAAAACGACAGTGGAAGCAGTCATATGGACTCCATATTACGTGCCGTCCGTTCACACTCAAAGTCGGACAATCATGAATCCCCAAATGTCGGGTACATTTCCCGAGAAGCCCCGGAGGGCAAACTTCTCGAGCTGTGGTCTGATAAGTTGAAAGATTCAGGTCTCATACTGAGCGACATATCCAGTGGGTTGTCCGAACTTTTCGCCGCGAAAGACAAGAACGAGATCACTTGCATAAGGAAGGCTGCCTACTTGACTGCCTCTGCAATGAAAAACTTTGTGGTCCCGAAAGTCGAGAAGGTGATCGACGAGGAGAAAAAAGTGACGCACTCCTCACTGATGGAGGACACGGAGAAGGCTATGCTTGACCCCGTCAAAATAGGTGTAAAGCTCAAAGCAGAGAACGTGGATATCTGCTACCCTCCGATCTTCCAGAGTGGGGGATGCTTCGATCTTCGGCCCAGTGCCTCGAGCAATGATGAGTATCTGTACTATGATTCCTCTAGCATCATCATCTGCGCTGTTGGGTCCCGTTACAACAGCTATTGCTCCAACATAGCCCGAACATACCTTATCGACTCGAACCCAACCCAGAGCAACGCATACGAGGTTCTCCTCCGAGCCCATGAGGCGGCCATCCATGCATTGAAGCCCGGGAACAAGGCGAGTGCTGTTTACGATGCTGCAGTCTCTGTCGTGAAGAAGGATGCCCCCGAGCTTCTCCCCAAGTTGACGAAATCGGCTGGGACTGGCATTGGGCTAGAGTTCCGCGAGTCTGGGCTGAGCCTCAATGCAAAGAATGATCGGGTGCTGAAGGCGGGTATGTCTTTCAACGTCTCTCTCGGTTTCCTGAACTTGGAGGCCAAAACGAGCAGCAACTCCAAGTGCCAGACCTTCTCACTGCTGCTTGCAGACACTGTCATCGTGAATGAGGACAGCCGTGACGTTGTCACGTCGGCTTGCTCGAAATTGCTAAAAGATGTGGCGTATTCATTTAACGAGGACGAAGAGGAAGAAGAGAAGCAGCAGCCGAAGGCACGAGCCGAGTCGAGAGTTTCTGCTAAGGACGTAATTTATTCCAAGGCGACACTTCGGTCAGACAATGGGGAGCTATCGAAGGAGGAGCTGAGGAAGCAGCACCAGGCGGAGCTTGCTCGCCAGAAAAACGAGGAGACAGCTCGTCGCCTAGCTGGCGTGGACTCGGGCACTGGGGATGGCCGTGCGGCCGTTCGGTCTTCCAACGACCTTATCGCTTACAAGAATGTGAACGAGCTGCCTCCACCAAGGGAGATGATGATTCAGGTGGACCAGAAAAATGAGGCCATCCTCCTCCCGATCTACGGCTGTATGGTCCCGTTCCATGTTGCCACTGTGAAGACTGTCTCGAGCCAACAAGACACTAACCGCAACTGTTACGTGCGGATTATATTCAATGTCCCCGGCACACCCTTCAGCCCGCATGACGCTAACTCACTTAAAAACCAAGGCGCTGTGTACCTAAAGGAAGTCTCCTTCCGGTCCAAGGACTCGCGCCACATCAGCGAGGTTGTGCAGCTGATAAAAACGCTGAGGCGTAATGTGATGGCTCGCGAGTCCGAACGTGCCGAACGAGCTACCCTAGTGACCCAGGAGAAGCTCGTCCTCTCGGGCAACCGGTTCAAGCCGATCCGGCTTCACGACCTCTGGATACGGCCCGCGTTCGGAGGCCGCGCCCGGAAGCTTACCGGCACGCTCGAGGCCCACGCCAACGGGTTCCGGTTCTCAACTTCGAGGGCCGACCAGCGGGTCGACATCATGTACGGAAACATTAAGCACGCCTTCTTCCAGCCAGCCGAGAAAGAAATGATCACGCTCGTCCACTTCCACCTCCACAACCACATAATGGTCGGGAACAAGAAGACGAAAGACGTACAATTCTACGTCGAGGTGATGGAGATGGTTCAGAACATCGGAGGCAGCAAACGCTCCGCGTACGATCCGGACGAGATCGAGGAGGAGCAGAGAGAACGCGACCGAAAGAACAAAATCAACACCGATTTCCAGCATTTCGTGAACCGAGTCAATGACCTGTGGGGACAGGCCCAGTTCAAGGGCCTTGACCTCGAGTTTGACCAGCCCCTTCGTGAGCTGGGCTTCCATGGAGTTCCGTATAAGGCCTCGGCGTTCATCGTCCCTACCTCCAGCTGTCTCGTCGAGCTCGTCGAAACCCCCTTTCTTGTCGTGTCCCTCGCCGATATCGAGATTGTCAACTTGGAGCGCGTGGGCCTCGCGCAGAAGAATTTCGACATGGCAATCGTGTTCAAAGACTTCAAACGGGACGTGATGAGGATTGACTCGATACCTTCGACTTCGCTCGACGGGATCAAGGAGTGGCTCGACACGACGGATATCAAGTATTACGAGAGCCGGCTCAACTTGAATTGGCGCCCGATATTGAAAATGATCACGGACGATCCGCAG